GTGGTCGTGCTGGGGTGTGGTCGTGCTGGGGGTGGTCGTGCTGGGGGGTGGTCGTGCTAGGGGGGTGGTCGTGCTGGGGGGTGGTCGTGCTGGGGCGTGGTCGTGCTGGGGCGTGGTCGTGCTGGGGCGTGGTCGTGCTGGGGTGGTGTCGTGCTGGGGTGTGGTCGTGCTGGGGTGTGGTCGTGCTGGGGTGTGGTCTTGCTGGGGTAGGGTCGTGCTGGGGTCGGGTCGTGCTGGGGTGTGGTCGTGCTGGGGTATGGTCGTGCTGGGTGGGGTCGTGCTGGGGTGGGGTCGTGCTGGGGTCTGGTCGTGCTGGGGTGTGGTCGTGCTGGGGTATGGTCGTGCTAGGGTGGGGTCGTGCATTTCGCTCGAGACATCCTGCCAAAATTCCAGGAAATCGTACAAAAACAAACGAATTAGTCGAGACATCATCGAAATTCCTTCGCGCGGGGCGCTTTTCCGCGTCGCGGTCGGCTCTGCAAAACAAGCGTTTCGCTCGAGACATCCTCGGCAAACTCTGCGGAGCAAGCGTTTCGCTCGAGACATCCTCAACACACGAAAAAGTGGCCCGCACCCTGTGATTTATCGATCGGGATTTCAAAAACAAGCGTTTCGCTCGAGACATCCTCAAATTTTAATTCGCCGGCCTCCTTCGACCTCGTTATTTATCAGGGAAAAAATTCGCCGGCCTCCCTCAAGTTGGCACCGGGGGACAGGTTTACCTACTAAAAGAGAACCCTGGGCCCACGCCCTTTCCGGGAAAAACTGAAAACTGCGCCGCACACCCGTGGAGGGGGCCGGGGAGGGACGCAGCTGTACATTCGCCAGGGCCCGGCGGGCCTGCCAAGAGGGCGTACCACGCCTGGCGTTCGTACCGTGGGGGCGGCGGGTGCACGGCGACCCTCTGGAGGTCCCACCGTGAGAACTTGTGACGAGTGCGACGGGTGGGGTGCGCGGCGTCGTGTGCGGGTAGTTTCAAGCAGGCTCGACGTTGGATGCCTTTCCGGGGCCGCGGTCTCCTGGCTGGCCCGCTGGGACGGGTCGGCGTCTCGAACGTCTCGCGGATGAATCCCTCGTCGTATTGTGCGTCATCGTGCTCTGGTTCCGCCGAGTGATCGGTAAGGGCGTCGATCGAACAAATATCACGCGTAAACCACTGAAAGTTGCCCTCAACGGTGGGTACAAAAGCGCGGGAATACCAATCTGCCCTTCGAACCTTATTGTGAAAATTCCGTGGTCGCGATCATGCTTCCCGGAGGTCCCGTTTTTTTTGTTGCGTCGGCGGCTAGGCAGAGGGTGACTGCGCTGGCGATGAGAGGCTTGAACGGGGATGCCGATGGAGTGAATTGCGCCACCGAAGACACACACATCCACTGCGCGGACATCGACCCACATCGGATCGTCGGAATAACGGAATCGAATCGGATCGCTCAGGGAGGAAACGACATCGAATCGCATCGATCGGATCGAAAGGGTCCCTGGCCTCAGGGCCCATCTCCTCTCCCCAGGAGGCGCCGTCCCCCTTGAGGTACGCGGGCAGGTCCGGCGAGGCGTCGACGACGAGGTACTGCGCCACGCAGGCCTGCCACATCCGCAGCGTGACGTCGTCGCGCTTCCCGTTGGCCACCCTCACGGGCACACGGACCGTCTCCTGCGAGCGGATCTGCTCCATGTCGAGCTCTGGCATGGGCCGAAGAACAGAAGTCGGCACAGACATACGAGGCGTTGAACTCTATACACCGACGCTTTCTTCGGCCCCGCACTGAAATTCACAAGAGAACGGATCCTGGTGTATACGGGATCATGGTGTATACAGTTCTCGCTGTTTCCCCGGGGGACAAGGGAAACATGATGGACCCACGAACCCGGAAAGGGATATAGACATGTGGAGCATGGACACGTTTTCATGATACCCAACTGGGCAACACCTCACGAAACATCCCACGAGACACCTCACGAAACAGCCCACGAGACACCTCACGAAACATTTCACGAGACACCCCGCGAAACATTCCACGAGACACCCCACGAAACATTCCACGACGACAGGCAACCACTCAACCAAGGCGGTGTGGTCGTGCTGGGGAGTGGTCGTGCTGGGGTGTGGTCGTGCTGGGGGGTGGTCGTGCTGGGGGGTGGTCGTGCTGGGGGGGTGGTCGTGCTGGTGGTCGTGCTGGGGCGTGGTCGTGCTGGGGCGTGGTCGTGCTGGGGCGTGGTCGTGCTGGGGCGTGGTCGTGCTGGTCGTGCTGGGGTGTGGTCGTGCTGTGGTAAGGTCGTGCTGGGGTGTGGTCGTGCTGGGGTGTGGTCTTGCTGGGGTGGGGTCGTGCTGGGGTGTGGTCATGCTGGGGTGTGGTGGGGTGTGGTGCTGGGGTGTGGTCGTGCTAGGGTGGGGTCGTGCTGGGGTGGGGTCGTGCTGGGGAGTGGTCGTGCTGGGGTGTGGTCGTGCTGGGGTGTGGTCGTGCTGGGGCGTGGTCGTGCTGGGGTGGGGTCGTGCTGGGGTGGGGTCGTGCTGGGGTGGGTTCGTGCTGGGTGCTCCGCACCCTGTGATTTATCGATCGGGTGCTGGGGGTGGTCGTGCTGGATGTGGTCGTGGTCGTGCTGGGGTGTGGTCGTGCTGATTGTTCGTGCTGGGGGGTGGTCGTGTTGGGGGGGTGGTCGTGCTGGGGGGTGGTCGTGCTGGGGCGTGGTCGTGCTGGGGCGTGGTCGTGCTGGGGCGTGGTCGTGCTGGGTGTGGTCGTGCTGGGGTGTGGTCGTGCTGGGGTGTGGTCGTGCTGGGGTGTGGTCTTGGTGCTGGGGTCGGGTCGTGCTGGGGTGTGGTCGTGCTGGTGCTGGGGTGTGGTCGTGCTGGGGTGTGGTCGTGCTGGGGTGTGGTCGTGCTGAGGTGTGTTCGTGCTGGGGTGTGGTCGTGCTGGGGCGTGGTCGTGCGGTGGGGTCGTGCATTTCGCTCGAGACATCCTGCCAAAATTCCAGGAAATCGTACAAAAACAAACGAATTAGTCGAGACATCATCGAAATTCCTTCGCGCGGGGCGCTTTTCCGCGTCGCGGTCGGCTCTGCAAAACCAGCGTTTCGCTTGAGACATCCTCAGCAAATTCTGAAAACAAGCGTTTCGCTCGAGACATCCTCAACTCTGCAAAACCAGCGTTTCGCTCGAGACATCCTCAAGAAATTCTGAAAAACAAGCGTTTCGCTCGAGACATCCTCAAATTTTAATTCGCCGGCCTCCTTCGACCTCGTTATTTATCAGGGAAAAAATTCGCCGGCCTCCCTCAAGTTGGCACCGGGGGACAGGTTTACCTACTAAAAGAGAACCCTGGGCCTGAGCCCTTTCCGGGAACAAGCGTTTCGCTCGAGACATCCTCAAATTTTAATTCGCCGGCCTCCTTCGACCTCGTTATTTATCAGGGAAAAAATTCGCCGGCCTCCCTCAAGTTGGCACCGGGGGACAGGTTTACCTACTAAAAGAGAACCCTGGGCCTGTGCCCTTTCCGGGAAAAAAAACGTTTCGTTACACCGAACCGCCCCGACGTCGCCCCCTGACCCTCAAAAAGTCCGCCACTGGAAATGCATATGTTCTGGCTTCCGAACACGACCTCTCGGAGGCGTGCGCGGATCTCTTGGCTCAGCGCTCGAATCCCTCCTCCTCCTCCTCCTTCTCCTCCTCCTCCTCGCCCGACCAACGAGGCCCTCCTCCTCCCTCCTGCCTCCTGCCTCCTCCCTCCTCCCTCCTCCCTCCTCCTCCCTCCTCCTCCTCCTCCTCCCTCCTCCCTCCTCCCTCCTCCCCCTCCCTCCTCCTCCTCCTCCTCCTCCTCCTCCTCCCTCCTCCCTCCTCCTCCTCCTCCTCCCTCCTCCCTCCTCCTCCTCCTCCTCCTCCTCCTCCCTCCTCCCTCCTCTCCTCCTCCCTCCTCCTCCTCCTCCTCCTCCTCCTCCTCCTCCTCCTCCTCCTCCTCCTCCTCCTCCTCCTCCTCCTCCTCCTCCTCCTCCTCCTGGCGCGCCATGCGCGCAAAAGGGGGGGGCGGAAGGGGGACGCCCTCGCCGGCCCGAGAGACGCCCGGAGCGCCGCTGCCTCCCTAAGAGGCTGCCGAAGGATGCCCGCCGCCGACGCCCGCCCTTCGAGGTATCGAGCAGCTGGGGCCGAAGGCGGCGGAGGTCTCCTCGGGCGGGCGGCAATACAAAGGTCGGGTCGGGCGAAAGGGGGGGATAGCAAAGGGGGGGGTGAGAATCAGCTCACGTAGCTGATTTTCCCGGCGCCTCCCGGCGCGGGAGGCGGCCATGCATCGAGGAATGGGCCCTCGGTGAGGCCGGAACCAGCTGCATGCAGCAAATTTCGTACCCCCCCCTTTCCTAATCCCCCCCTTTCGTCCGGCCCGAAAGGCCTCCCATCAACTGCGAGCGAGGGGGGGAAGTGAGAAGGAGAAGGCCCGCTTAGAAGGCGGCGGGACTTCTCAGAAGCCCTCGCGCCGTCCGAGAGGTTGTCTCTGTCTTCGGGGAAGGTTTGGGAAACTTCTCAGAAGGCTGGGGGGACTTCCGAGCCGTCTGAGAAGGCCCGCCCCTTCTCACTTCCCCCCCTTGCTCGCCGCCGATCCCAAATGGGGTCGGAGGATCGCGCCGCAACGCCGATACATCGGCGATATACGTCGCTGATGCATCGGCGATGCATCGGCGACACCAGCGTGGGGAGAATCGGGCTCCACATGCATCGACGATGCGGCGCGATCCTCCGACCCCATCTGCTCGGACCCCTTCTGAGAGGCCTAGATAATGTTAGGTCGGGCCTGTCCTCCTACAGGCGGATTTAGGACGAACAATAGAACACCATCAACACATATTCAAAACAGACAACGCATGACAAGACATGCCTCCATAGTATAACCTGTCTATTCTTGAAGATTCCTCCTGTAGAGAGACATGCCCGACTTAACGGTAATGGGGGGAACCCACATTCTCGCCGTCGCTCGGACGTCCATTCCTTGTGCATTTGTCGGTCTCGTGCGTGTTGCGTGCTTGTTTTTTGCTCGATGGTCCAGGATGGTCCTCGATGGTTCTCGCCGAGAAAAAATGCACACGTCCGAGCGATGCCAAGCATTTGGGGGGAAGCAAAGGACACTCAAGGAGCTCTGAAGGGCCTCTTTTTTGGGAGCCAGCAGGGGCCCAAGAGGGCCCCACAGGGGCCCTTGAATAGGGGGCCACGTGCGAACCCTACCCCTACCCCCCAAGATTTCTGAGGGAGAAGGTGGGGTTCACTTCGCTCGGAAGCTCCCGAACGAAGTGAACCTCACCCTCCCCCTCAGGAATCGTGGGGGGTAGGGGTAGGGTTCGCATGTGGCCCCCTATTGAAGGCCCTTTACGTCCCCCCCCCCATTTAGATCACCTGGGGAAGCCACAAGGCACCGATGCCGCGACTCCCCAGACCTCTCCCAGGATGCGTTTCGACCAGGACTTCCGGGCGAGTCCGGAGGCCGACAAAAGGGGACAGCGGGCGAAGGGCACCTCTTCCTCCTCTGATCACCCCCCTCCCCGTACAGTCGCGCCGCTACAAAAAGGAACGCTAAATAAGGAACGACGCCCCTTCTTGGGACTGTGAGCGCCTCCGTGCCCCAAGAGTGCAAGAGGAACAGCACTGGAGGAACCTAAGGAACATCGAGCCCCTTCCGAACCCAAACTGTTCCTCATCTCAGCGTCTTGACTGCACCGCCCGCCCGATCTCCAAGTTCTTGTTGTCCACGTCCGGCCTCCAGTCGAAGAGCAGCCACGGCCCCGCCTCGGTGGGGGCGTCTTCGGCGGCGTCGCTCGGCCCCTCCCTGGGCCGTGCGAGCGCTTCGACGGCCTGCAGGTACCTCAGCGCCTTGGCGCGCTGGACCAGGACCTGGGAGGGCGCCAGCTCTGCTCCTGCACTGCGAGGAAGCACGGGGAGCAGAATTCGGGTGCTGCTAGGGGCACCCCTGGCCCCAGGTGCCCCCAGGCGAACAGGGGTGGCACAGGCGGCCTCCAGAGCTTCCCTCTCGAGGCCCACGAGGGCCCCAGGGGCCCCAGGGCTCCAGACTGGAGCGAGAAGTTGGGGGCACCATGGGCCAGGGGCACCTCTAGCAACACTCGAAGGCATCTTCGTGCAGACCTCCGCGGATCTCTTGGCAACCGGCGCTGGACCCCCCGCGCTCTGCGCGCCAGGGACGGGGGGGCACAGCGCCGGGCCAGGAGATGCACGGCAGCATGCCGCGCTGGCTTCCTCGATGCTCCGATCTGGGCCAGGCCTGCCCAAGGCCCAGGATCGGTGCACATGCGCCCTCCTGGCTTGGGCAGGGAGGCGTGCATACATCGGCATTGGGCCCCAAGGCGGGCCGTGGCCAGGACTGGTGGTGTGGGTGCGGAACTGGCGCCCCACGATTAGGTCGGGCATGTCCTCGTACACGCGGATTTTGAAAACACGCAACAATAAAAAATAATCCAAAAATCGTCCCCGGTAATTTTTCAACTTTCGTTGAAGATTCCTCCTGCAGAGAAACATGCCCGACTTTACCCTACGAGGACCCGCGAGTTGCAACATGCAACGTTCGCCGAGAGCTGCCTGACGTCCACTCCGGAAATCGTGGAGCACGCGAGCCCGACCGGAACGCAGGACTGGGTCCGCTCGTCCTCGAGCACGTTGCCCCGCAGGACCTCGGCGAAGAACATGGGCTTCGAGGACCTTGCGCGCAAGGCCGCGTCCAGGATGCACATGATCACCGTGAAGGTGGTCAGTGTGCGAGCGCCGACGCTAATGCCCTTGCGCTCTTCGACGATCACGGCCATGGCGTAGTGCTTCGCGATCGCGTGGAGGTCTGTGAGCATCCGCTGCTGAAGCGTCTGGCTTCCTGCCCAAAGCCGGCGGTACACGCACGCACTCGGATCGTCGCCCACGGCAGCGGCGGGCACGTGGGCGTCGCCCGACTCCCATCGCACATGCACTGTGGCACCCTCGTACTTCAGAATCTCGACCTTCTGACCCTTGGCGAGGCCGTGGCCAGGCATGTGCTGCAGCACGACAGGGTCCCCAGGGGGCTCGGGGAGGGTATGCAGCCGCTCGAGGAAGCAGTGCTCCACGATCGCGGCCAGCCTGTGCATCGTCCTCCGGAATCCGATCACGGCGCCTCGGCATTCTAGGTGCAGGCACTTCGTCGCACACGCGTGGATCAGCTCGATGATCTCGGTGGCCCCGTGGTCTGCAGACTGCGCGGCCTCGTCCGGCAGCATCAGCCGCAGGTCCACGAAGGACCCGGTGCTCGTCTCCATCACGGGGCCCGCCCACGCCTCGGCCTCTCGCCAGACGCCACCTGGTACAGCTGCACCGATCCTGGCCAGGCCCATCCTGAGCGCAGACTCGGTGCATGCGTCCCTCTGCGGGGGCGGCCAAGAGGGGGGCGTCCAAGAGGGGGGGGCGCAACTCATGGCCGGCGGCACGTGCGCGGCCCAAGGAGGAGCCAGGGGCGCACTGAAAGGGGGTGGTGCAATAGATTTGGGGCAATTGTATTGCAAATGTATTGCGCCAGAGAATTCGATTGCACTAACTATTGCATTGCAACTCTTGCATGCACGCGAAAGCCCGAAAGCCCAGCAATACATGTGCGCCCCGGAATGTATTGCACGCCCCAAACTATTGCAACCCCACAAATCTATTGCACCAATTTCTATGAGAGAACGCGGTTCACGGGCGCGCTTCGAACCGGGGGGGGGGTTCGAACCCCCCCTCCTCCTCAATCCAGGTGGGGGGCGATCCAGCTCCCCCCCCCCCAAGCGACCACAGAACGCGCTCTTTCAAATCTATGGCACCACCCCCTTGTCGCTGGACCCCCTTTTTTGAGCAGGGACCGACCGTTCCCGGAGTCCTATAGTCATACCACGACATGTTCTTAGAAAACAAAAAATGTTCTAAGAACAAAAGCAATGTTCTTAGAACAACAACCCGATGTTGAAACAAGACAATATCAGCCAGAACTGTTCTAAGAACATTTCGTGAAAACCACAAAAGGTTCTTAGAACACTGTTTGGTAGGGCTATAGGCGAGCCAAGACGCTTCGTCACTGCTTGACTTTTGGGCCAACCCGAACATGCACCGATCGCGGGCCCAGGATCGACCTGGCCGGCACCCCTCCGGAGGCCGGTGCAGCTGCCCGGGCGGCCAGGCCTCGGCACGCTGGCACATGCCCGACAGGACCCAGGGGGCGCAGGCGGTCATGGCGCCCTCGGTGAGCTGCAGGCACGGCTGGGCGGTGGACTCCATCTTCGCGATGAGCCGCTCCGCGCTCGCCTGTCGGGTCGGGCGAAAGGAGGGGGGGATAGCAGAGGGGGGGGGTGAGAATCAGCTCACGTAGCTGATTTTCCCGGCGCCTCCCGGCGCCCGAGGCGGCTATGCATCGAGGAATGGGCCCCTCGGTGAGGCCGGAACCAGCTGCGTGCAGCAAATTTCGTCACCCCCCCTTTCCCAATCCCCCTCTTTCGTCCGGCCCGAGCCTGAAGCTCGCTGACCAGGGCGTTCGACCTGTCGACCTGAGATCCCCGCAGGAGCCTCCGGTAGCCGCCCCGCATCCTCCTCCGGAAGCCGGAGCAGAACTCCTGCATGACCACGCCCGCGACCTTCTTGGGCGAGCAGCTTTGCTTGTTGTTGCGGGGCGCGCGACCACTGAAAGTCACGACAACGTGACAAGCATGGTAGCGCGAAGCAGGAATCCGCCCGACAAAACAAAGAGGTCAGTGTGTGACCTTCTCCTGTGGCAACTCATGGGAGCCTCCTATACCACCTTGTTGGCTCTTGCACGTCGACGCTGATCGGCGCTAGGTCCACGTTCACCGACGCTAAACGACGCTCTAAAGACAGAACTACGAGGGTACATTATAGAGAACAGACAATACACCCTCACAAAAATCACCCTTACGCGCGAAGCCGTTTAGTACATCACCTGAATAAGGAATCGAACAGGGCAGGGCTGTTTAGTAAACGCCCAAGGTCGCTTAGTTAACGCCGATTTTCGGGTCTGGGTGGTTTTTTCCTCCCCTGACAGAAGGCTGCCATGGCTTGCTGCCGAAGCCCCCGGGTCTTCTGAGAAGTTTTGGGGGCCTTCCCCCGAGACGCAGAACACTGCTCAGACGGCGCGAGGGCCTCTGAGAGGTCCCGCTGCCTTCTGAGAAGCCCGTCTCCACCTCATCGATCCACCCCCTCGCCGGCGCTGTCTCACCGAATACCCAAATGCTAAACGACGCCAATGCACTCAGTAAAGACAGACTTCTGGGGGAACAGAAGGCTCCCACGTGAGCGTTTTCGTATGCGGCGCTTCGACATTGGGCAGAAGGGGGGGCGGGGGGTCTTGCTTCGGACCTCTGCTTGATGCGTCTGTTTGCGACAGTGCGTCCTGTCGAGGAGACCCACCCTGCTCAAAACATGCACCAAAAACAGCCAAGATCTATTCCATGGGGGGAAAGGTAAAGGGGGGGTGCGAGGGCCCGCGCCGATCGGCAGAATAAGAAAACCATCACCATCTAGCAGAAGCAAAACGGTATTCACATAAACTGTTGGCGCTCCGGGCGGATTCCTTGGATCTGCGCTTGACCCCCCTCCCTGGCGTGCGGAGCGGAGCGCGCCAGGGAGGGGTGTCCAGAAAACTTCTGAGAAGTCCCGCCGCCTTCTACGGCCTTCGCCTTCTCATTCCCCCCCCATTCGCTCGCCGCCGAGCAGCGGGCGCCCATGACTTGCTGCCGAAGCCTTCCTGCCTGTTGTGCCCTAGCCCTCTACCCCCTCTTTCGGCCGCGTCCTCCGCTTCCTCCTCCCTCCTGCATCGTGGCACAAGTCGCCTCAACGGCGCCCACGTTGAGGCCGCTCCACCAGCGCAGACAACCCCCGCCTCGCCGCCGACGCAAGAGCTTGCTGGGCGTTCTCCTCGAGCCCCCTGGGCGGGAGGAAAAGCCTGCCCTTGCCCACGGCCGCGCGGCCCACGGACTCCACGCAGCCGCGGACCCCCGCGGACACCACAGGGCGGCCCTGCGCGCAGCTGCCCCGCGCGGAGGGCATCCATGGAATCTTCCGCGCTTCGCAGGGACCAACACCAACACCAACACCACACCAACACCGCCAGGGACCGTCCACGGGAGGAGCCAGGGAGGGGTCCTCCTGGTGGTGTGGTCCTCCCCCTCGCGCTCGAGGTATCCTCCATCCCCAGCTCGGGAAGGCATCGTGGACCTCCTCGCTGGAGGTGACCCCCTGGTGGTGTTAATGTCGCTTCTCCTCCCCCCCACTTCGGTCCAGACCGACGATGAAACGACGATAAGCCGAAGCCAGGACGAGAATAACACATCGGGTGGGGATACAGCCAACCCGTATCATGAGGATGCGCGATAAGGATGCAAGGGCTCTGGACGCCCATTTTGGAGCTGTCCGAGCGGGGCGCGGCCAGGGAGAGTGGCCAAGGATGGGCCGAGGAAGCAGGGATGCAAGGGTATCCCTGGGAAGATTACCCATCCTTGCTGTGCGCGGTGACTGCATCCATGGAGCGTTCCGCGCCTCGGTCCGGACCGCGGGTACATGGCAACGGAAGAAGAAAAAACGCATAAACATAAACTGCTGGCGCTCCGCGCGGATTTCTTGGATCTGCACTGGACCCCCCTCCCTGGCGAGCGGAGCGCGCCAGGGGCGGCGACGATGGCGCCGCCAGGGGGGCCCAGGCGCGGATCCAAGAGATCCGCGCGCAGCGCCAACAGTTTATGTCTATGTGTTTGATTTTTTTCTTCGAGGCATGGCAAGAGGACGCCAGGACGAGGATGAAACATCGGGTGGGGACAACTAGATATCATATCCCTGAGAGCAGGCGGCTCCGGAGAACGCCTCGGGCGCGGCGGCCTTCCACGAGCCTTCGGGCACGCCCCGGAACGGACCGACCCCCGCCCTACGTAGCACCGTCCGCCAGGGGTACGGACCCAGAGGTCAGGCGCTCGAGTTTCTGAGCACGGGGCCCCCGAAATCCAGACACTTTCCCCAGGAGGAGGAGGGAGGAGGAGGAGGAGGAGGAGGCGGAGGCGGGGGAGGGCCCTCCCGGGAGGAGGAGGAGGAGGAGGAGGAGGAGGAGGAGGAGGAGGAGGAGGAGGAGGAGGAGGGACGGTCCCGGGGCCGGGCGGGAGGCCCCCCCCCGAAGGCGAAACGCGGCCAAAAACACAGATCTGGACGTGGCGCATGCGTTGGAGGCCTGGGAACAGGTCAGGTCCCGCCACCCGTGGGACCTGCTTAGACTCCGGCGAGCACATGCGCACCTCCTCCCCCAGGCGTCTCGCGACGGCCACGTCCGTCTCCAGGAGGACCTCCCCGACCTGCTCGCCGGAGGCGCCGCGGGCGCGGAGGATGTAGGCCACGCAGCCTTCCAGCGCTCTCCAACGGCCCTGCGCCGCCGTCTCGTTGCCCACGTCCTCGTAGTCGGGAGGGGCACTGGAGGCCCTTCGTGGGAGGACGCCAGCCGCACACCCACAACGATCGGTCGCCGCCCTGGCTCGGCCAGGAGGGCCAGGGCGGGCCGTGCGCGGTGCAGGCGTGCAGTTGCCGCCCTCCGACCTCTGGTCGACCTTCTCCTGCATCTCGGGTGTGTCCCCCAGCGAAGAGCCCACCAGGTGGGGCAGCACCACCTTCAGAGTCCGGCACGCAGGGATGCATGCAGGTCGACACGCGCGCAGGCCAGCACAGACGAAGCATGAGAGAGAAAGAGCGATATATATATATATATATATATATATATATATATATATATATATATATATATAAGAGAACGAGAAAAGGGGGAACAGCGACGATACATATATATATATATAGCTATATATGTATATGTGGGGTGAGAGGGAGACATGGGGATGACAATTCATATGCCCATACACCCATGTACACGTATGTATACACAGAAATGGACAGACATACGCATTTATACATACATGTACATATACATACACATTATATAAATAAGAAACATGATTACGTATGATAGCCAGCGTGGACCCATACTAGCATTATACATGTAAATCATATGTTGTGTCACATTAGCACACATGTATATTTATACATGTACTAGAACCATCGCGCACGCTTCGCGCGCGCTCAAGTTCCAGCTAGATTGGATGGTCGAACTCTTGGAGACCTTTACTCCATGACACTTCTTCTTCGGGGCTCCCAATAACCACGAAGACGGCCCAAATGGTTTTTTAGATTTCCTCAGGTCCACCCACGACGGCTTCAGACAGACCCAAAAGGCACGTAGGGGGCCCTTTGATTCGCCGCGGCTGGACGTTGCCAGAGGAAGAGGGAGGAGAAAGGGAGGTGAAGGGGTTCCCTGGGGAAGAAGGAACTGGAGGACGAGGAGTGTGAGAGGGTGGAGGAGGCCGCAGAGGAGAAGGTACATAGGAGGCAAACGAGGAGGAGGAAATCTGATATTTCCTGTCTTTTTTTGCAAACGTAGCGAAGCTGCCAGGCGAACACAAAACAATGTTAGAATTCCCTTTGTTCGTAAGTGCCCTCGGGGCCTCTCTCGGGGCTGTGTTGCGCCTCTTTGGGGCTTCTGGGGGCCTCTTGACGCCTCCTGGGGGTCTCATGGGGCGAAAATCTCGGGTTCTCGGTTCACGTTCCTGGTCCTGGTCCTTGGATGTGCCTTCCGCGCTTTTGAAGCCTATTGGGCCGGCCATCGGAGCCTCTAGGGGCGTTGTGCAGCGTCGGGAAGCGGAACAGGCGGAAACGCCAAAATTGCGCAAAAAACGATGGACGGTAAATGTTAGTTGGCATCTTCGGGCTCTGTTGGGAGACCTCTTGGAAGCCTCTTGGGTATCTTGGAGGCCTCTTTGGCTGTCTGGAGGCCGTCTTGGACCATCGAATGGCCTTTGGCCCATCCCGCCACCGTGCCTAGGTTGTGGCCGAGAGGCCTTTTGGAAGTTCGTTTGGAATGCGTGGAACGCTTCCCGGGTGCCTCGTGGAGGCAATGTTGGAGGCCTCTCGTGGAGGCCCGCGCAGCCATTCTTTGGTTTTCGGAAGATTTTGGCATGTGCTCTTGGCAGCCCAAAACCATCCAAGAGGCCCCCCAAACCGCACTTGCTCCAAAGGTATCCAAGATGACGTCCCGACCGAAGCCCCCAAGACGGCCCCAAGAGGGCCCCAAGAGGCCTCCAGGACGGCCCAGAAGCGCCCGAAGAAGGCCCAAAGTCCGTTCAGAGAGGCCCCCAAGACGCCTTCTGACGGCGTCAAATGGCCCAGAAACTCCCTAAGACTGCCGAGGAAGCCCACAAGAGGCCCGTAAAGGTCCCGCAGAGGCCCCCCAGAGGCCCAACAGGACTCCAACACGCCACCGGGAAGGTCCCACAGGGCCCAAGAAAACCCCAAACATTCTCCCCCACGCGTCCCCCGAAGGTATTATAACCCGACTTGGGGAACACATGGTCCAATAGCTCGGCCGATCTCTAACCCAACTTTCGGCCACATAAGCTCTTCCAATAAGGCAGGGGGCGGCGGTGATTCGCCGCAGGCGTCGTCGGTAGATTGTTCCATACAGCATGTGAAAATGTACGTGGTGCAACTGATGTGGTGCAAGCCGCTTGCCGGACTTGAAGCTGTCAGCTCCACTGCTCGCGCAATCATCCCATCCCATGTGGGAGTGATTGCGATGAGTACTGGGTGTTGGCTGGTGCATCTCTGCGGCCGCGCTAGCTCGCGCATGCTCGCGCGCGCAGCGGCCAACCAGCTTGGCGCGACTGACGCGAACGCGTGGCGCTGACCGCTCGGCACATCCCAACGGGCACTTCAGTGCGAGTCGGCGAGTTGGGCGGGCGCGGTATCCTGGCAACGTCGACAACGGTAAACAATATGATGATAGTAGCGATGCTGGCGGCGATGCTGACAGCGACGACGGGGCAGCCAGTGACGGCGCCTATGCTGATCACGCCGACGACGATGACGGCGTCTTCGCGGTCGCGATGAAGGTTTTGGAAGGAATTCGAAATGCGCGCGCGGCAGACGCGCGAGTGGCTCGCATGGTATTATTTGACACGGATCGTGCCACCCCAGCACGCGCGCAACGGCGTTCGAACGATTTCGACATACGCGCGCGAAGTCCGTTTGGTAGCATTGCGTGGAAAACGTGAAAACGGCTGGTCTTCTCAAGGATTCGCAAGAGCGCGCGCGTAAACTGTTATTGCAAATCCATGATTTTAGGCACTCGGTTTTGAAATTCCGCTGAAACGGTGGATGTTTGAAGGATTTCGGCATGCGCGCACAACGACGCGCGCGTGTACACCTCGCCCCATTTGTTGCAAGGGACTATTGACAACTTATGAGATTTGGTAAACAAGTGTGCGCGTATAGTACTTGCTGCAAGGGAACAGAGGGGGGACCGATACTGGCCTGGCTTGGGTAGTACTGATAAGTTTGGACAAACAAATGTGCCCGCATAGTATGTGTTGCAAGGGAACCGAAGGGGGACCGATACCGGCCTGGCTGGGATAGTCTGAATTCACAGGTCGGGTGGACATTGGTCCGAATCATACGTTTTGTATAGGTTCCCAGAGAGTAGATAAGTGTGGGGGGGGAGGGTGGTAGAACCTATCTCTTTTGCATCAAAGGAAAATGGGTGTGGTACAACATATGTTGTGAGATGTATCGGGACCAACAGCTGTGTCGCAACATAGGTGGTGCAATACATGTTGAATAATGTACGCCATGCAATCCAGGCTGCGAACTCTATGTGGGGCGATGTGTGTGTGGTGCAATCACGGAGACCCAATGGATGGGGCGCGGTCATGTGGAGCAATACATGAAGTGGAACAGATGTCGTGCTGTAAATGATGCGCGATCTACGTGGTGCAATCTGGGTTGCCCATCTATGTTGTCCAATCTATGTGGTCCAGCCTATGTGGCGCAATGTAAGTGGTGCAAACACTGTTGCGGCGACGAGGCGGCGACGGGGACCACGGAGCCACCAGACCGAAGGCCACGCCCAGTTCATTAGTCCACATATGGGAACCCCTAAGCGCCAGAGCTGTCTGGAGTAAACAAAAAAAGAGAGGGAGAAAGAGAGAGAGAGAGAGAGAACAAAAAAAAAACACAACAACAACAAAATATAGAGAGAGAGAGAGAGTAGGGCAGGGCAGGGCTGAGGAGAAGAGCGAACGGCCTGACGTCCACTCCCTGCTGGGAGTGGTGCCAGGGTGAAGAACAGCAGAGGCTGCCTAGAGACAGGCCCATGATCGTGCAGCGCCGGGAGTCGAGGTGCAGCCCGAAAGTACGCAGGAGCCAATACCCCTCCTATCGCCCCGTCTACATCTACCTCGAGAGGGAGGGAGAGAGAGAGGGAGAGAGAAACAAAAGAGAGAGAGAGAGAGAGAGAGAAAAAAAAAAGGGAGAAAGAGAGCGAGAAAGAGAGAGATACAGATAGAGAGAGAGAGAGTGACAATTCCCTGCTGCATCGGGAGAGAGAGAGAGAGAGAAAGAAACAAACAAAAATTGTATAGAGCAAGAGAGAGAGAGTAGAGAGAGAGAGAGAGAGAGGGAGAGTCAGAGAGAGATAGAGAGCGAGAATCATACAGGATTAACTGCAAAGTGCATAGGCTGAATCGGACTTGCAAACGCAAACTTGCTGGAATCAGGCACATTTTCTGAAGCTTGAACCGCCACCTCGTAGATGCTGCTGAAACCAGATCCCACGGTCATCAACAGCCGCATTTCTAGGTAGAAAGTGTACCAAACGGCCTCGTCCAACATCTTGGCCTCCGGAATGTTTGAGAACGTGAGAACCGTCTTCCGGAGAACCTCGAGGTTGCCATCTAGGAAGTACGGGTGGTAGAGCATGCCCGAGTCACCCTTCTCCTGGAGGATGGGAGGACACGAGGAGGGAGGACGAATGAATGGAGGGGCCCTGGGACACACAAATAAATGACAACGAATAACCAGATTCCCCATATTTCCAAATATTTTCTGGGTTTTGTCTTCCCCCCCACTTTCCATATTTTCCCATATTGTCTGGGGGATCGACGATTGATTGTGTCTGTGTGTTTTTCCTCCTGAATGAAGAAATGATGTACAGAGAAACTTCGGTTCGCTTCGGTTCGAATCTCCTGGAAGCTCCACATTTATTGGCCAGCCGGGCGATAGCCAGACTCGGGATGGAGGAGGAGGAAGAAGCCGACGATGCTGTGGAGCCCGCTCAAGATTAAGTCGGGCCTGCCCCCTACAGGGGGATCTTGGACGAACAATAAAAAATACAAAAAGTACTCCCATATGGTCCAAGCATATTCAAAAAATAGTCCCCATACTATTATTTTTTAACTATTTTTGCATATTCCTCCTGTAGAGGGACGAGCCCGACTCAACGATAGCCAGACTCAGGATGGAGGAGGATGAAGAATCGGAAGATTTTGTTGTGGAGCCCGCATGAGATCTCCTGAGATCTGACGTCGTGAAGAATATCACGACAGGGTCGCTGGACTGCGTCTTCCTGCCGCAATCCGCGAACCGGATCAAGCTGTGAGAGCCCTGGGGCTCGAACACCCGCGACAACGTCGCCCGATCTGGAAACATGCGAGGCCCGGGTCGGACCGAAGGAAGCGGCAACAGGATCAACCAGCATGGGGAAACGGAACTGATTTCCGATCGACTCGTGCGCCTCATGGGCGGCTGTGGGCCCCACTCCCCTGGCCAGAACGCCCAAGCGATGGCGCCCACCTCGGACACCAACGACACAAGCATGGATCACCATGCAACATAATATTTCGTCGAGGCCGTGATGTTGCTCCCTGCTGCGGGCAAGACCTGCGAAAGCGGAACGAACGGAACTCCACGTCGGATCGGGCTGCCCTTCGGGCTCGCATCGGGCTGGCCGGCATCGACATCGAGCCAGATCCACGAGATCGGATGGGGCCCTGCCCGTGCCCCTGGCGGTAATTTTCGAGCCAGCACTGCGGCCCCGTGCGGCCCTTCGGAGCGATCCGGGCACCCCTGGAACGCTTAGGGCGGGCGTGTCCCCCTACGGGCGGATTTTGGCCGAAATGTTTCTCAACACATACCCCAAACGTGCTCCAAACATGCCCCAAAATAATCTACAAAATCGTCCCCTGGCGACTTTCTAATATTCCCCCTGTAGGGGGGCAAGCCCGACTTAAAGCTGGAACAACCTCCCGAGGCGGGAAAACCGCCGAGCAGCGCCAGGGCGCGCGCGAGAGGCTCAAGCCTCGAGCCTCGAACAACCCGAAATTTGAGCAGGGACCGACCGTGCCGGCATTCCTACAGGCCTACCACGGCATGTTCTCAGAACCCCAGACATGTTCTAATAACAAAAGTAAGCCTCTTAGAACAAAAGCCAGGAGTGCTACAGTAAGAACAAAAGCGATGTTCTTGGAGCATCGACCCGATGTGTTGAAACACGACGGTCTCGGCCAGAAAGGTTATGAGAGCGTTTCGTGCAGACCACGCAAGGGTTCTTAGAACATGTTTTGGTGGGCCTATAGGCACGCCAGGGCGCTTCGCCACTGCCGGAAACAACCCGAATCGGGAGCGGCCAAGAGGGGGGCATCCAAGAGGGGGGGTGCAAATCATGACTGGCGGCATGTGCGCGACCCAGCTGGGGGGGCCAGGGACGCAATGAAACAAGAAGAGGCGCCGTGAAATCTGGGGAAATATCATGGCCCACGCCATGATATCCCCCCCCCCCTGGTCATCACCCCCCTCTTTGCCGCCCCCGAACGAACCGAAGTGGACCCCGACCCCGACCGGGGCGCCGGCGCGGCGCGCTGCCGGAGCGGCCCGGTCCGCCGCGCCGGCCTCCCGAGCGCGCTGCCCCCCGTTGCTGCGGCGCACCTGCGGCCAGGCCGCTGCTCAGCACCTGCCCTCCAGGAGCCCAGGAGAGGGGCAACGTTTCGGTTGGGCGTGTCCTCCCTCCTGCAGGCGGATTTTGGACGACAGATAAAACATGGTCGTCAAACATTCGCAGTGCGACTGCTCAAACACATTCACAACATCGTCCCCAGACTAATTATGTTGACTATGTTTGAACAAGCCTCCTGCAGAGGGACATGCCCGACTTAAGGCAACTTTCAGGGAAGTCCAGCTCAGCATATATATATATATATATAGATAACGGGCCCCCGAAGTAGCGATCGAAAAAACGCCCCAAGACTGAACGAGAACACGAGGGGACGTCAGTACGGGAACGAAGAACGACATAAACATAAAAGCTCGGAGGTCCGCGCGGACCGCCGAGTTTTTATGTTCATGTCATTCTTCGTTCCCCTAGTCTTAGGTCGGGCCTGTTTCCCTACAGGGGGATCTTGAGCGAAAGACAGAAATCCTCAAAAAATACCCCCAGATGGCCAACACATAATCCAAACATCGTCCCCAGACTATGCTTTGCCTATTTTTGAATAGTTTAGGGGGCCACCTGCGAACCCTACTCCTACCCCCCACGGTTTCTGGGGGGGAGGGTGGGGTTCACTTCGCTCGGCAGCTCCCGAACGAAGTGAACCCAACCCTCCCCCTCAGAAATCGTGGGGGTTAGGGGTAGGGTTCGCAGGTGGCCCCCTATATTCCTCCTGTAGAGGGACAGGCCCCGACTTAACCCCAGTCAGGGGGGAGGGGCCAGCTCAGCGTGGGGGGCGGGGTCGTCGCGCTCGAGTCCGCGAGGCACCCCCGACAGACTGGCGGTGCAGAGCCCCGAGGGCGAGTCCGCACGCTCCTGGGCTGGCAGCGCTCGGCACCTGCTCTCCAGGAGAGCCCAAGAGAGGGGGGGGGCGTGCACCCCTCCCCTCAAGTCGGGCATGTCCCTCTACAGGAGGAATGTTCACAAAGAGTCAAAACAATAGTATGTGGACGCCTTCTTGGTTTCTGTTTGAATCTTTTTGAATTTGTTTGACTATTTGTGATTTGTCGTCCGGAATCCGCCTGTAGGAAGACGTGCCCGACCTAACCCTGGCCCTGCCCGCGCCGCTGCAACCGAAAGATGGGATCGGCATGGGGCTCTTGGAGCTCGGGCGCCTGCCCGAAGCCAGCGGAGCGACGATCCCTAGGGGGCCTCGAGCGAGATGGCAAACAAGACGAAGGCAGGACGAGGATAGATTGGGGTGAGGATGAAATCGGGAATCTCTTAGATGCAGCGGCTCTGGAAGATGTCTCGGGCGCCGCGGCCCTCTCAGAGCGTTCGGGAACGCTCGAGCGTTCCGGAACGCTCTGGAACCGACTTATCCTCGTCCTGGCCCCGTCCGACTAAATTAGGAGGCCAAACCAATAGAGATAGGGGGTCTTTTCTGCTGATGTATCGGACCAAGCCGCCCAGATCTGATTATCCCTGATGCAAAGGTGGGGACCTCAGTGAGGCCACGTCTTCCCTGGGTTAGCAGGGTTAGGGCTTCTTTATCCTATGAGACGAGGGGGAGGACAAGGCAATCTAGGGCCATGACATGATGTTACATCTTCGGGGGACCTTGTCTGTCCCGTCGCTCCGCGATCCACGTCGAGTCCGTGTCGAATCCGTGTCGAGTGCGTCGAATCCGTGTCGAATCCGCGTCGAACTCACGTCGTAGTACACGAAGATATTGCCGTTGCATATAGGATAGGACAGGTCCCACGAAGATTTCAAATGGCGCTGCGGTTTTGCCGCCCTATCTCCTGAGCGTCGACATTCCTGTTGACTACGGTGACGGTGAAAGTACCCCTCAATCTCTGCGTAATGAGGATCGCCTTCAGACCAACGCGTCCGGCTCCACCTCGATCTCGGGCCGATTGCATCCTCTCTACGCTTTCCCTCCATTCCCCCAAATCGCATCGCAACACCACAACGCAATCCCCAACACGGCAAGCCTCAATTCCTGCGCATCTGTCACAAACTTGTGGCGTCATTCCCTCCTGCCCCATCCCTTAGGGGGCAACTACTGGGAGGTTTTCGTCGGGAGGACGAAAGAGGATAAAACCCCATTCGGGGGCTTCTACGCCAGCTTAGGCAACGGATTAAGCGGGATTAGGCGGGATTAAGCCGGATAAAACTGTATCAGGCCGGAATAAGCGGGATTCAGCCAGATTAGCCGGGAATTCGGACCAGAGCAAACTCAGAAGTTAACCTACCTCCCAGAAGTTGCATCCGAACCTCCCATCCTCGTCTTCCTCCATCTCCTCTTCCACCTCCTCTGTGCTCGGCATCTTCTTCGGGCAAAGTCGACTTTCTCTGGGATCGTGCACTGCCCCCGCGCCCGTCGCGAGCTTGCGCCGATTCCCCCATCTTCCTCCTCCTCCTCCTCCTCCTCCTCCTCCTCCTTATCGTCCTCCTCCTCCTCTTCCTCCTCCTCCCACCCCTCCCATGTCCTTTCCCCCCCCCTCTCATCATGCGACCCTCCCCACCCGGAAAATCCAGCCCTCCAGAGAGCGCCGTGCTCCCAGGAACGGGCCCCGGCCACCGCCAAGCATGACAACGAACTCGCTCTCCTCGAGGCGCCTGAGGCGAGCGATGACCTTCGGGCAAGCGGCAGGACACACTGTCCTGGCCAAGACAGGAGGGCGGAACTGCCACTCCCAGGCCCAGGATAAGCATGGCCGGGCCAGAGTATGTGAATGAGTAGGTATACAGATGGCGCCCCCCCAGAGAGAGGAACCAGATCCCACCATGGCGACACCGACGACGTCGCGTTTGGCCCTTGCCGGACATGCGGGAGCCAGAGACCTTTCCAGGCCTCCTGGATCTGCCCACCTACAATCATTGCGCTACCACACGGAAGAATTTAGAAGAGAACACCAGAGGAAAACAACATACAACCCCTCCTGTTGAGCAAGGACCGACCGTCCTGGAATTCCTATAAGCCGTCTACGACGTGTTCTTAGAACCCCAACATGTTCTAAAAACACAAAACATATGCTCTTATACCATAAAGCCGATGAGTTTAAATAGAACAGTCCCAGTCAGTAATGTTATGAGAACATCTCGTGGAAATCACCAACGGTTGTTGGAACACTGTGAGGCACGGCAGGACAATTCGCCACTGCTTGATCCTGAAGAGGAGGAGGAAGAGGAGGAGGAGGAGGAGGAGGAGGAGGAGGAGGATGAGGAGGAGAGGGAGAAGGGGGATGAGGAGGAGGAGGAGGAGGAGGAGGAGGAGGAGGAGGAGGAGGAGGGGAGGAGGAGAGGAGGGAGGAGGAGGAGGAGGAGGAGAAGGAGGGGATGAGGAGGAGGAGGGGAGGAGGAGGGGGAGGAGGAGGAGGAGGAGGAGGAGGAGGAGGAGGAGGAGGAGGAGGAGAAGACCCGAGAAAAACAACAAAAAACTCCCTCTCGAACCAAACGTGGCCCTTATTTTAGAGCCTGGACTGCGCGCCTGGCGAGCTCTTGCCGAGCGGGCGGGCACCTCCTACAGCAAGGCACCGGGCAGCCTGGCTCTTCTGGGCTCTGCCCAAGGCGTCTTCGTTGCCGTGTCTGTCTCGGGGCGTTCTGGGTGACCCAGAAGGGGGTCCAGCTGAAAGGGGGTGGTGCACGGCCCACGCCCCGAGGTCCACCCCCACTACTAGTCCCCCCCCTCATTGGCCACCCCCGACCTCTGGTCTGGCCAGGAATGTACGTGTCCTTGCGACCCACAAAGGGGTACAGCTGAAAGTGGGTGGTGCAAAAGACTTGGGGCACTTGTTTTGCACGTGTACTGCGCCAGAACATTACGTTGCCTTGTGTTGCAGGTCATGATGCACGCGAAAATCGAACAATCTATTTGCGCCCTGGAATGTATTGCACAACCCAAATGGATTGCAATCCCACAAATCTATTGCACCAAATCTATTGCACCACCCCCTTGTCGCTGGACCCCCCCTTTGGGTCAACCCGAGGGTTGGGCATCATTAGTTTAGCGCTTGTGGGCCCAACAAGAGCATTGGAAAGACGAGAGAACAAGACATTGCTGTTGCGTTTTCATTCTGGCTTCTTTGAATCAATCCGTTCCGCTGTTGGCAACATTGCCATCGTCCACGTCTTCAGTTCCTTCTCCTTGCGCCCAGTCCTCCCTATATTGTATCATACCCATTGTGCTCTTCTCGTGTCGTCGCTGTTGGCTGGAAGCGGGGCCTCCGGGCCTTTTCCGCGCCGGTGTCAGAGCAGTGTCAGGGCGCTTGCTTGGCGCTGTTAGCTCTGCGCCTTGCTCGCGGAGCGGAAGGAATGTGAGACGGCAGGAACGGGAGAGCGGGAGTGAAGACGACACTAAAGACAAGCAGCAGCCTTTGACAAGAAACCAAGAAGGCTGACTAAATGCAGATCCACAACGACAGATCTGAAACAGCAAACAAAACATTGGTTTCTAAACGCTACGGTATGGAGCAATCCAGCTGTTCCTCTGAGTTTTTAGCTTATCAGAAGGCCAACATGCAAAACGGCAAAACGAACGCCCAGAGCGTTTGGAAGAAGAACCACGCCGGGCAGAAGACGATGCCCCTCCCGCCTGTCCCCGCCTTCTGCAATAGCTGGTTCGGAGGCCGAGCGCATGACCGACGATGTCTCTTTCAGTGCGGTTCCAGAGGTCAGGGCCCCCCCCCCCTGTGGGCACTTTCCCACCCCAGACTGATTTCTGATGGCCCCAGGCTGATGTCGAGAAGAGAGCGCTTGGATTGAGAAGCCGTATCGTTGGAAGATCCGGCGGGCGAAGCAACTGCTCCAGGACGCCCCCGAATGTGCTCAAACCTCTCGGTCGGCGGTGGACAAGCAACCTCCCCCGAATGAAAGCCGCCTGAGACCAAAACCGACGGACCTGGACCCGCAAAAAGGACGGCCGCGACGCCCTCTCGCGAACCGAGAACGGCCAATTCGTTAATCGACGCGTCAGGGTACAGGGCAGTTTGTAATACATATGATGTTTAAACATATTGGGCCTCGATTCATTCATGAATGAATTTATGCGTGAACTCATCGTTGTTTTTTAATACTAAATCCCTGCATCCTTAATCGACGTGTCAGGGTAAGAAATCTGTCCACCTCCGACTCGACCTGCGGGGTCGCTCCCGGGCGCCGGGGCCGCCGGCGAGCACTGGCCTGGAGCGAAGCGCTGGCCCCAGGGGGACGGGGCCGAGAGGTCTAGGGAGCCCGTGCGAAGAAGGCCACGACGACGGACGCCTGGGCAACTACTCGGGACGGATAAATCTTTGAGCAGGGACCGACCGTCCCGGCATTCCTGCACTCCTGCCACGACATGTTCTGAGAACCCAAACGACGGACGCCTGGGCAACTACTTGGGACGGGCAGATCTTTGAGCAGGGACCGACCGTCCCGGCATTCCTGTAGTCCTGCCACGAAATATTCGAAGGACAAAAACAATGTTCTGATAACATAAACCCGATGTGTTTAAACAAGACGGACTCCGCCAGAAAGGTTCTAAGAACATTTCGTGGAAACCACAAACTGTTCTTAGAACATTGTTTGGTAGGGCTATAGGCGAGCCAAGACGCTTCGCCCCTGCTTGAAATCTAATCATCCGTAGATCTGGCGCGTGGGCGCCAGATCCACGGATCAGGAAAGGTACCCACCGAAACCCGAGGCCAACGCTGCCCGAATTGACGACGGATCGCGCCGATCGCATGTGCATAATCCGTGTCCGCGCTTCCTCGGTTTTGCTTGCGCGTTTGTCTCCCAAGGCTGCCTGACGAGTCCCTCTGCCCGATTGACCCCCTCAAAACCCTACAACTCGCAATCTTCTGATCGGCAACGAACTGCCCGGCATCCTGCAATTACCCTTCGCGCTCGGCGCGAAAGCATAGCCCGGCGGCAGCAGTGATCGGGAGTCCCAAAGGTGGGCGTCCAAGAAGAAAGTTCGAAAATCATAGCCCGAAGCATGTAAGCGGACTGAAATCCACGGAATATCATGGCCCTGGCCAAAAGACATGAGCTGGTTTGGCCAGCGCTGATGTCGCTCGGGCGGGCGGACCCTAACAAGCGGGTCGGGTCGGGCGGGCGGGACACTAAAATGTGGGGCGCGCTCAACTGAGCACGCGCGAACCCTAACGGGCAGGTCGGGTCGGGCGGGCGGACCCTAGCGGGCGGGTCGGGTCGGGCGGGCGGACCCTAGCGGGCGGGTCGGGTCGGGTCGGGCGGGCGGGCCCTAACGGGCGGGTCGGGTCTGGCGGGCAGGACATTAAAAAGTGGGGCGCGCTCGACCGAGCACGCGCGAACCCTAACGAGCGGGTCGGGTCGGGTCAGGTGGACCCTAGCGGGAGGGTCGGGTCGGGAAGTCTTGCCAACGGCAACTGGTCTCACCGACGGCAGCTGGTGTAGCCGACGGCGGCCAGATTCGCCGACGGAGCTGGTTTCGCCGACGGAGCTGGTTCCGCCGACGGAGCTGGTTTCGCTGGGCGGCGAAACCAGCCGGGCGAAACCAGCCGTCGGCGAAACCAGCGGACGCCGGCCAAGATATCCACTATCTCTAAGCATCACCCCCCTCTTAGCTGCCCCCCTCTTAGCCGCCCCCGGGTTCAAGGTCATCTAGAACACCCCAGCCGGCAGATAGAACATATTTCAGCCCTGGGGCAAAGGTAATGATGTCAGATATGGCGCGAGCGCTCCTACCTTGCGATCCCTCCCCTCTCTGGCTCACGCTGGGTGCCAAATCTACGAGTGGTGGCGAGATCTGAAACCAATGTCACCTGACTTCACGACTGAACGCGCGCCGATAATGTACGGTAACGGGCCCCGCCGCTAATCCATGCAACCCATGCTTGCGTTTCCTCGAGGTCCCTTTCCTCCCTCCTCCTCCTCCTCCTCCACCTCCTCCTCCTCCTCCCTCCTCCTCCTCCACCTCCTACTCCTCCTCCTTCTCCTCCTCCTCCGCCTCCTCATCCTCTCCTCCTCGCCCTTCTCTTTCTCCTCCTCCTCCACCCCCTCCCTCCTCCCCCTGGTCCTCCGACGACAGGGGCGGTGACGACCACGGCACCGCAGTTGTCATGGTCGCCGTCGCCGCCGCGCTCACCGTCGCCGCTCGTCGTCGACAGACTCGGGAAGCTTTGTAACAGGGGATCTGTCGACCCCTATCCCAAGCTTCGCGGGGTGTGTCCATCCTCGATAGGGGTGCGTACGTATAGCCCCCTTGGGGTGTATCCCAGGGTTTCCCTTTTTTTCTGAGCGGCTTCCATTGTTCGTCGAACAGTCGGGGGTTGGGGGAGAAAAACCGCCTGCGACCTTGGAGATCTCCCTCGCGGCGTCCTCCGCAGCCGCCTCGCTGGCGTTCCCGGAGCTGCCGCCGCCGCCGTCCCCAGTCTTGCTGTGGTGGGTGGCCGGGCAGTCCTCTGGGGAGCTGGGGGCAGAGGAGAAGGACGACGAGGACGAAGACCACGACAACGACGACGACGACATCGACGAAGACGACGAGGACGAAGACGAGGACGAGGACGACGGCGGAGGAGACGAAGACGAGAACGACTGCGGAGTGATGGATGTAGGCGACGGGATGACAATAACGACAGGGCGAGAACGTCAAAGACGAAACGAACCTGGAGGCCAATCGTCCACCAGCTGTAGAACTGGGGTGGGAAAAAACTGCAAATGTTAAGGACGAGGGGGAAACGACCCCACCACCACCATTTGGCTTTGGTGAGTGGTTGGGCGGTCTTCCGCGGCGGGGCTCGGGACGACGACGACGAGGACGAGGAAAAAAGAGGCCCAAGATTCATCGCCGCTGGTGGCCCGTGGAAGCGAATGTCGTGCGCAGGGGACCGTCAGAGATCGCTCCCTGTAATGAGAAACAATGGCCCCGATGGGGACCGATGCTGAGCGACGGGGACGACGAAAACAACAACGGGGAGAAGGAGGGGTACGTTTCGTTTCGGCCGTGTTGGGAAACGTTTCTGCTGGCTCGTGTGGCCGCCGCTGGAGCGGCCTGGGACCCACTTTGACGAGGCCATCACCGGCCCGTTTGCGTGTATGACAGCCCTACGCGCACACTCTTGCGTGTGCGCACCCCTGCTCAAGGCACGCGCACGTGCACAAACTGTTTCTCTGGCGCGCTGATTGAATGCATCTGGCGGATCAATTTAAACCGAGGCGGGACACGTTCAAAATGAAGCGGCCACCTTGGTATGGCGAGCTTACAGATGTGTTCGTTTTCTCTAAACGGGGCTGTCGCCTTAGCGTCGCGAGCCCTCGTCTTCAGCGGGTATACAGAGTTACAGGGGTGAGGATGCGGGTCACATCCGAAATAAGAATCTCGCCACAGCCCTCCCTTAGCGCAGCGATTGAAATGTCGAGACAACTGCAGCAGTGGGTGGCGGCTCATATTCAGAATGCTGCTGTCACTTCAGACTGCCCCACCCACACTCAACGAACACAATATTGAACATCTGTAACAACCGCACGGATGGAGGGTGACTCCATGTCAAGCCGGGGCTCTCGATGCAGACCTTTTAATCTTTGAGAAGATACGCAAGCGTGTACAGTTACTGCCTGGGTGAGACGGCGGCTCTGCTTCAAACTGGCACTCTAGGCTGGACACATCGTTCAACTTTTCATTATAGTTTCCGCATTCTGCAAGCTCGCTAGAATGCAAGGAATTGCTGTGCAATACGGGGGTGACGCCTGAATGGCAAGACCATGTCGTGCTCGTCTGCCTAAAGAACGCTTCGTGTGGTGACGAGGACGGCCTCTTGTGGAGTGTCGCCAGTACGGAATTTGGGACGGCAGGGTTTGTTGTAGTAGAGCCGTTGATGCATCTTCGGATCTCCTCGTCCTCCTCCTCTCACCATCGTCATCATCCCTCTGCCCCTTTTCCTGACCCCGCCTCCTCCCCCACTTCCTCCTTCTACCGCCGCCTCCCTCCCTCCCTCCTCCCTCCTACTCCCTCTCCTCCTCCTCCGTCCCTCCTCGTGCAACTGACTGCCCCGTCGTGCCGCTCCTCCCCCTCCCCCCCTTCGCTTCCTCCCGCCCTCTCCTCCTGCTGACTCCCCCCCCCTGGGCCCCCCTTCCCCCCCCCCTATTGTTGCATCCTCGGGGGACCTTGTCTGTCCCGTCGCGGCCCTATCCGCGTCGAATCCGTGACCAATCCGTGTCGGACTCGTCGGATCCGTGTCGAAACCGTGTCGAATCCGTGTCGGAGTCACGCCAAATCCGCGCCGAGTCCGCATCGAGCCCGCGTCGGGCACAGAAAAACACCAATTTGGGGACAGGCGAGGCCCCCCGAAGATGCAACGTACCCCCCCCCCCCCACGCATCGCCGCAGCCCCACCGAGACGCCGCCGCGCGCTCGCCCCCGGTCCTTGTCCAGCTCCACGGCCTGCTCCAGGGCGCCGCAGGCCGACCTCACCCAAGACGCGAGGCTGCCGCTGCCCCCCACCGCCGCCGCCGCCTGCTCCAGCAGCCGGACCATCGTCGTGGCGTCCGTGGCCATCGGGCTGATGAGCGCCTGCGCCCCAGCGCGACGCCCCCTGAGCTCCGCCGACGCGACTTGCTCAACCGCGCCCCGAGCCCGAGGCCCGATCTTCCTTCCTGCGACATTGTTTCGGGCAAAATCGATCCCTGAGAGGGTCCAGAGGCCCGAAGCAAGGCGAAGACGTCCGGCTTGACAATACTGGACCGCCAAGATCTTAGGGTCGCAGGACGAGAAGGAGGAGGAGGAGGAGGAGGAGGAGGAGGAGGAGGAGGATGGGTCGCAGGAGGAGGAGGAGGAGGAGGAGGAGGAGGAGGAGGAGGAGGAAGAGGGGGCGGAGGCCCTCTTGGGCCTGATACCCTGGGTGGGCCTCAGCTCTGGATCCAGAGCGGAGAGCTGCCCCCCCTGGGGGGAGAGGGGTCGGAGTCCCCCCGGGTGCCGCTCGCTGGAGAGCGCCTCGCCGGATGTCTGGGGGAGCATCGCCGGAGAAGACATCGCAAGGGAAAACGGCGTCTGGAAAAAGCAGCGACCCATGTAGGAAGGCACCAACTATACACCAACACCGATTCTGGCCCAGGATCACCCTGGGCCCAGGATCGGTGTACACGCCCTCCTGCCTTGCGCAAGAAGGCATAAAGGCATATACACCGATCCTGGGCCCAGGGTGATCCTGGGCCAGGATCGGTGTTGGTGTATAGTTGGTGCCCTCCGACCATGGCTGGACCTAAACATGGCTGTTCCTCTTGTGCTTCGGTTTGCTCCTAACTGTTGTCCTGGCCCTCCCGGCCAAAAACGGAACACCACACACGGCCGAAGTCCAGCAAACCAGCGTGCAAATTCAGCCCTGCATCAACCCGTACAGTGTGCACGGACGATATGGATGCCAGGGCCTTGGAAGGCCATGTCGACACTTTGCGAGCGGGGCGCAGCCAGTGAGCATCGTTTAACCGATCCCTATCCCCACGGGCGTGGCCTGGGCCCCCCTGGCCTTTTAATCCCCATCCATGGGGATATAGGCTGTTCCCTTCGAGTTTCCAGGGGCATATCCCCTCCAGGGTGGTGGGATGGTGGGGATCTGGACGGGATGGAGAAGGGGATAGGGATCGGTTAAAAGATGCTGAGCCAGCGAAAGCGGCCAAGGATGGGCCAGAGGACAAGGATGCAAGGGTAACCTCGGAAAGTTGGTCATCCTTAACAGGCGGGTTCACTGTACGCATCCCATGTCCACAGCCTGCGGAGGCAGCGGAAATGGACATGGCTGGCCCCCCCCAGCCCCAAAGCGCCTATATCCACTGCCTCCTTCGAAGAAACGTGCGCGCAAACAGTACGGAAGTGGCGACAATCGCGCAACTGGCCGTTTCCAAGGGGGGCGACGTTTTGTTCTGATCGGGGTGTCTCTGCACCCCACTGGACTGCCAACGGACGGGCGAAAGCGGCGACAATTTCGCAACTGCCAACCTCAAGGGAGGCGAGATCTCATTCTCACCTGGGCTGCAACCCGCCCCGATGGATCTCCACAGAACCCCTCCAGGAGGGGCCCGTGAGTGCCTGTGGCAGGTCGGCTGGAGATTCCGGCTCACTGGGGATGGGCGCCCTTCTCCGAGCGCGAGCGCGAGCGAGCCGCAGCTTGCCCCCCCCCCCCACATGTATGAAAAAATTATCACTCGAAACTCGCACGCGATTCATTCACAAACGGAGTCCCCGCCTGAGATGCACTTCATATTCAGGCCTGAAGAAGCCAGAAATGAGAACATGTACGATCTTCCGATGGTCCCTCCCGCCTGAGATTTCCTCGCACCTCACTCACAGACGAGGCTCCCGTCTGAGGCTTCCGTCATAATCAAGCTTGCATAGGCCAAAGGCGACAACAGGATCCCGATGGCCCACTGGGATTGGTAACATGAGTTGCGGGCCCCATGAAGCCCCTCCCGCCTGAGACTCCTCGCAATTCACTCACTAACAAAGCTCCCGCCTGAGTCTTCTTTCATAGACAAGCGTGCAGAGGCCAGACGTGACGGCATGCATAGGTTGCGATGACCTGTTGGGATTGCAAACACGAGCTGCGGGCCCCATAGGGAGGGGGGTTCCACATGAGACTTCCTCGCACCTTTCAAACAGAAAAGGTCCCCGCCCGAGACTTCCCCCAACTCATGCTTGAAGAGGCCCAGTGCGACGACAATTACAGGATCCCGATTGCCCGCTCGTATTGGTGACATGAGTTGCGGGCCCCATAGGGAGGGGTTTCCCGCCCGAGACTTCCTGGCAAAGCAATCACACACGAGGCTCCTGCGTGAGATGTCACGCATACTGAAGCTTGAAGAAAACGAAAGCGACAACAATTACAGGATACCGATGGCCCGCTTGGATTGAATACCATGAGCTGCGGCTCCCATAAGTAGCCCCCCCCGCTGGGGACTCCCTCGCAATTCGCTCACAGACGAGGCTCCCCCTTGGTCGATGGGCATGATGGGATGGTGATAGTGATGACGATGGTAGTTTGCGATGGTGTTGATGGTACCGATGATAAGTATGGCCGACGGCATCGATGGGATCATGACGTACGAATGATTGGGTGAGTTATGAGTGCACGTAAGTGAAAGGGTGAGGGAGTGTGTGAGTGTGTGATGATGGTGATGGTGATTGTGATGGTGGTGGTGATGATGCGGATGACGATGCGATATGTTTTAGGATCCAATGAAAGGTGTCCGTAGAAAACAAGGAAACCACTTAGGACGTGGGGAATCATTCACATCGGGGATCCCGAAATTTGCATGTATCTGAACAACTCCTCCGAACCAGGCTGAGTCTGAGTGAGGCTGTGTACGGCTGCCTGGGCACAGCTGGGTCTGAATGCAACTTGGTCTAGGCATGACAAGTTCTCCCCTGGTGGCTCTTCCTTGGGATGCCCACGTGATATGCTGAGGATCGGAGACACATCGGGGAGGGCACAATATGACCGTGTCGCCCAAGTCACCCATCGGGGCGCAATCGGGGAAAGTTAACAGCCCTTGGCAGCTGCCCCTCGGGGTGCCCGTGTGCCAAGCTGGCTACATCACAGTGGTCATGGGGCTCTCAAAAGAAAAGAAAAGAAGTCGTGGGTGCGAGGGGGGGGGCGGGCGACGGGGGAGAGAGGGGAGATGGGGGGAAGGTGGGGGGACGGGGGCAACAACATTTAGCGTGAAACATCACCACAAGTTGGCCGCTGCCACTTTGTGTGCGCAAGAAGTGCGCCTGCTACATCTCAGAAGCCATCAGGTTTGGCAAAGAGCAGTCGGGTGGGGAGGGCAAGCAGACGGGCCGCGCGATCCATCCCGACAGCCAAGACACGGACTGCAGCCCCCGGCGGCTCCCCCTTGAGGTGTCCACATGCTATGCCTGCTGCATCGCGGTTGTCATGTCGGGGGCGCGCAAACATGGATTAGCGAGGTCGCCAAATACATGGATTAGCGATCCGTGGATTTGGCGAGAGGTCGTCAAATACATGGATCGGGGGAGGTGCCCTCCCCAAAATGCGGCCAGTGCCGCCTCGCTCGGCGGCGGAAATCCTGGATTCCCCATGGAAGCGGGACCCGTCGCCAACCTACGCCACCTTGATCCATGCGTGCGATCGCCTGAGCTGTGCCTGCTGCATCGCGGTGGCCATGTGGCTCTGGCAGGAAAGCGCTTGGCGCCCCGCTCGAGCAGCCCCCCAAGGGACAGATGGGCGCGAACGGGCGAGCGCGGCACTCCTGCCTGGGTGACTCCCTCTTCTGGCATGCCCACTGGGGGCACGCCGCCTGCTGCAGCGCAGGCTCGGCACCGCGACGGGCCGTGGATGGGGGGGACAACGGCAGGAACAACAAAAATAGGGGACACAAATAGGGGAACAAAACGTGACATAAACATCAAAACTCAGAGGTCCGCTCGGATTTCTCGGATCGGCGCTGAGGCCCCCCGGCGGCGCCTCCGGCGCCGCCCCTGCGCGCTCCGCGCGCCAGGGAGGGGGGTCCAGCGCCGATCCGAGAAATCCGCGCGGACATCCAAGTTGTTATGTTTATGTCACTTCTTGTTCCCCTGACAACCAAGCGTTTCTTGGAGGCTTGGAAGTGGGCACCGACACAACAACAAGGGTTGCGTTCACTAGGGGATGGGGATCCTAGATTTTGGTGGTGATAATCTTTCGGCCACCTAGGACGCCAAAATGCGGAGATGGGGATCAGCTTCCCTCGGTGGAGGCAACCTGCCGATCTTGGTGCTGGTGCCAACCTCCAGGCCTCCGAGTTTCGGGCAAGACACGGTGAGGGCTATCAGACTCCTAGTCAGGAGTGCGAGCCTGCCGCGCTTGCCGTGACTAGGGATGGGTCTCGCGGTCGCCCGCCCCCTTCTTCGCCTTGTGCGTCTCTGCGCATGCGGCATTAACCACGGCCGCGCATCTTTGCCTGACGATGCGCCGCCGACATGCTGGGCCCCTGCCACGGCTCTGGGGGAACCAAAAGGTACCGATACCGCAACAACCCGGCCCTGCCGGGGGGGGGATGGACTGACCAGAATGTCGAGGCGAATCCTGCGGTGGCGACGAGGGCCGCCCAGGAGGCCCAAAAACGGGAAAACGAGGGAAGGGTAGTGGTATGGGTACCTCTTGCTCCTCCGATCATGCTCGCCACCCAGATGCCGAGATGGCGCGCGTCGGCGACATTCCTACCCACCTCTCTGCGCGTCGTGCTGGCTGTCCCTCCAATCGGGTTGGAGAACAGCGTTCGGCGGCCAGCAAAGCTCCGCCTCCTCTGCCTTCTCGTGCTCCCAAGCTGCAGCCTGCCTCCGCGCCCGAGGTGCCTCAGCCCGCTGCCAACTCCATGTGCGAATTCCATGTCGCATATGGCTATACATTCGGTTATGCATAGATCGATACATACATGTATGCATATCTACACATATAAGTATACGTAGGTGTACCCATCCCGCGAAGAGAACACCTGACCAACGTCTACGAGCAAGGCCGTTTCTGTGAATTTGTCCAACTGCAGTCTCGTTCCTGCGTCGGCAACGCATTGATCGCAGCTGCCGCTCCTGGAATGGCCTTTTGCGCTGCCGTGGCATTCGCCAGACTCTGCAAGGCCTTGCATGTGAGAGTTTTCTTATTCGGCGTTTCGACATTGTGCGGAAGGGGGAAGGGGGGGTCTGACACCGGACCTCTGCTTAATGCGACTGTTTGCAGCAGTGCGTCCTATGAGGGAGACCCCACCTGCTCGAAACCGGCGCCAGAAACAGCCAAGATCTACTCCAGGGGGGGCAGGGGGGAGGGGGGCGGGGGGAGGGAGGGCTGCGCGAGGGCCCGCGCCGATCGGCAAAACAATGAATGAGAAAACGAACGATCACCTGTCCGCCGCTTCCGTGTTGTGGGTCTCCCCAGCGTGACACTCATGTCTGCTTGTTCTGGCCTCGGCCTGCCCTTGCTGTCCACCCTGGCCTGCTCCTGCTACTCGGCCGCCCTCTGTGCGCGCCTGCTGTGGGTTGCCCCCTCCCTGCCTGCTGCCTGGCATTTTCGGTCTCCGGCCTTCCCTCTGGTTTGCGGCCCGATGCGTGCACGCAGGCTGCGCTTCTCCTCCGGCCTGGGCTGGCGCCAGCCCTTCCGGGTGTCCGCGCCTCCCTCGCAACA